GATCCGTTGATGATGTTTATGTTTAGTCAGTAACTTCTACTAATTACAGAAAGTTTTTGTCACTATGTGCATGTCTCCTTTGGTCATTGATTCATACGTGTGTTTTGGCCACAGTTTTGTCTATTTGTTTGCGGTTTTCTTTTTGTCTAGTTCTTTCAATATCCAGAAGTCAAAAGAGAAGAGCTTCTTTTTAGAGCTAGAGCTTCCTATATCTAGTATTCATCTCTTTTTTTTAACCTCCTTAGTGTATTTTGTGTTTTCAGTGTTCTCATAATTTCTGTGGATCTGGTTGTTGTTGTTGTTATTGTCTAGAAGTTCAAGTTGTGGAGACATGTGACTGAGGCTAAGAAGAAACATTCAGAGAAGTAAAACTCGTTTTGCCTTACCTTTGACTTGAATGTATTGTTTCTATATGTGATATTGTTTTTGTTTTTCAGGAAGGTGACGAAGTCTGATGAACCTAAGCCAAAAAGACTTAGAATAGCCAAGGATACGAAGAAGAGCTCTTCTACCTTAAACATGCCCAAACGACCTCTTACGGGCTTCTTTATCTTCGTGTAATGTTCATCATTTCACACTTACTTTTGTTGATAGTTAGTTGTTTAGTCTTTGGGGATTTTGCTGATGTTGCCTTTCACTTTGCAGGAATATATTCTGTCATTCTTTTTGACGAGAGCATCTAAGTTCTCTCATTAAGGATGTAAGACTTTAACTTAGCTGATTGCTATGCTTGACTCCTATGTAAAGTGTTTATGAGATTTACCAAACTGTGTATTTATATATGATTGTAGGTTGCAAAGATCGGTGGTGGAAAGTGGACGTCTATGACTGAGGAATTGAGTTGCTTTATTATCTTGTTTCTTTGTTAGTTTCATGGCGATTTGTTTCTCTTTGTAGTTTATCTCATAAATTAGTACTTTGTTGTGTAAGAGTAATAGTTAGATTTTTTTGTATAAGACTTGTTATATATGTTTTGTGTAATGAATATTTTTGATAATTTATGTAATAAAAAGAAATTATATATAAATCCAATAAAATAAATATTGCAAAACAGGGTTCAAAAATGCAAATTAAATAAAAATCAAATTAAATTTATATAGCGGAAAAATAATGTTACAACATTTTATAAAATAACACTAAACGTGTGTTACAGTAAAATATATTATAGCATTCGATTAGCGCTTAAATATATAGACATTTAATAACATGCCAAAAAACGTTATCGTATGTGGGGGTCTACCATAACAGGGGCCTAAAATAGCATTTATGAAAACGCTATCAATGACATATTATAGTTTTTCTCTCATGTTAATAATGTAGATATTTCTTGTAGTGAATCAAAGCCCTTACGACAAATAATTCAATTTTCTTTGAATTTTTTTGAAAATATAATATATGTGACCCTAAAACATTTAGAAGATACGTATAAAAGTTATATTGTTTATTATTTTTGACTTCGTAGTATTGATTTGTATTTTTTAGAGATAGACGGTAAAGTTACAAAAATTGAACATTATGAGGGTTTTATTTGTAGAAAATCCTTAAAAAAATTACAAATAAAGTATTTTTGTAAGTTACATTTTTTTAATAATATAATCTTATATAATTTATTTAGAATTATTTTAATGTCACCAATATCTGTAGATATTAAAAAGTTTATTGAACGATAACAAAAAATATTTAAAACAACAATAATTCAGATTTTTAGGAAATCAAAATAATCCATACTTCCTCCGTGTCACTTTAAGTGATATTTTAAGGGGGAAAATTGTTTAATTTTAAGTGATGTTTTCAGTTTTCTATGCAAAAATTAAATAATTTTTTCTTGACTAATTATATTTTTCAGCATATTTTCTAATTGGTTGAAATAATTTTAGTAATGATATTTTTATGTAGAAAGGTAAACTAAATGAAAATTATATGTTTTCTTAACTTGTGTATAGAAATCTTAAACATCAATTAAAAATATACCGATGAAGTATTTTCTAAACTAATAATTAAATTTTTATTAAAAGATATCAGCTATTTGGTTTTGCATAATAGCCATATGTGTACCGGAGGGGGAAAACGGCCAAAATCAACTCCAACTATTTTCATGCGGCCTTTTTCAACATAAACTTTGACCCCCTGCACTTATCAATCTGAACCCTCGTGAATTTTAAATAACAAACCTGAACTATGTAACTGTTAGCCAATTTCAACATATACATGTTATTATATAATGTAACAAACATGAATTATGTAAACTTTAAACTATTGAATAAAATGAATGATTCATATACAAAAGAACAGATAATTACGGCTTAACAATTCTAATCGACATTAACAAATACAAAAAAAATTAGGTTGAAATTGGCTATGGTTACATAGTTCAGGTTTGTTATTTGAAAGTTATGTGGGTTCGGGCTGATATGTGCATGGGATCAGAGTTTAGGTTGAAAAAAGCCGCATGGAAATAGTTGGGGTTGATTTTAGCCGTTTTTCCGTACCGGAGGTCACATGATCTTTTGGTAGTGACTAATGCTAAATTTTTTGAAATATTCGCGGAAGTGTCTTTGACACATGATTTCGTTTATGGCATGTTACGATGTAATCTCTGGCTCTAAGTTTTTGTAGATCTATCAACGAAGCTTAATGCTTCCCCAATCTATCTATCTACTTTTGTTGTAAGTTTGTGTTTGCCGAACCTTTTGTACCCAACCATTTGGTTGATGAACTTATACCTTTTTATTTCCTTTTGGGATTGAATGAATGGATCAACTATGTTTGCATATTTGACAAAAAAAAAAAACTATGTTTGCACAAAAAAGTCATATGTGCACCGTTTGTCGTTGTCTATGCCTCTTTAATCTCGTTAATCACATTTACATCTTTCATTTGTTGTGCTTGCAAGTTTTCATTACATGATGTGTCATCTTTGAAATCATCATCTAAGATATTTGAGTGATGGATGAAAATTATGAAGGTCCATAGAAACAAAAATCAATATCTTTTGTTTTTCTATTGTATTTTTTGGTAACTTTTACGACCTTTCGTTTCTTTTTCCACATTCCAAATGTTCATTCAATATCGGAACAAATTGATGCAAACTATCGGTTAAACAATTTATTCTTGCTTTTTCGTGGTGGTCCATCATAAAATTTTTCTAAATAGTTCTCTTTGATTTCCCTATAAGACGCCAAATAATTTTTCTTATTCGTGTATCCAGTCAATAAGAAGAACTTACCATTATGATTTTTTGGAAATCTTTGACTATTTTGTTGTGTTATTGCCAATACCTTAGAATCATGATCTATGCATGTTGCTCCATTCCACATATATGTGAATAACATGTCTAAATCATATATCGTCATAATCATAATATTTATGATCGTTTCACCAAAAAATATACAAAATGCGCGATGATTTTTTTGAGGATTCAATAACCAGAACATATATCCCATCTATAGCACCAATAAAACTTTGGAAGTAAAAAAAAAAAAAAAAAAAAAAAAAAAAAAAAAAAAAAAACTTTGAAAGTATAACCAGTAACGACGATCATTTCATAACTTGCATGAAACTTCTTAAGTTGACGTTCTGTTGGATTCTTTATGTGATCACATTGTTTCATTGTTTTGATTACCTCATGAAAATTTTGATTAACTGAGGTATTTAGAAGTACGTATTCGATATCGTATTTCATAATTTTGAAAATTATAAAACCAAAATTAAACAGCTTATGCTAATATGAAATTATATTTACATTTACGTTAATTGGGGTAGTTTGCGTTAGATTGGTTTGTGTCTTTGAGTCAACTTCATGAAAATCAAGACTTTTTCCTTTATTTATTTCTTCAGCAAATAAGAAAATATCAAGCAACCAATGAAAGATTGAGCAAAAACAAAAAGGCAGATTTTATATTATCTTCTCAACTGCTAGTTGTGATTGGAGACATCCTTGTGAGACTTGATCAGTTGATCCCCAATTAAGAGGGTGTCTTTTCGACTGTATAAGAAATTCTTATTTATACTCACCAAAAAAAAAAAATTTCTTATTTATAAAAAATAGTATTATATAAAATAGAAAAATACCAATTATTATTATTATTTATATAAACAGACCCATTATTGATCAACCTAACTCTCAACTAACCATTGTCTTTCAATCTTGGGTACATGATTTCTCTTCATCAATTTTGTTTTGATAGCACGAGTTGTGTTATATCTCTCTAACAAACCTGAACTATGTAACTGTTAGCCAATTTCAACATATACATGTTATTATATAATGTAACAAACATGAATTATGTAAACTTTAAACTATTGAATAAAATGAATGATTCATATACAAAAGAACAGATAATTACGGCTTAACAATTCTAATCGACATTAACAAATACAAAAAAAATTAGGTTGAAATTGGCTATGGTTACATAGTTCAGGTTTGTTATTTGAAAGTTATGTGGGTTCGGGCTGATATGTGCATGGGATCAGAGTTTAGGTTGAAAAAAGCCGCATGGAAATAGTTGGGGTTGATTTTAGCCGTTTTTCCGTACCGGAGGTCACATGATCTTTTGGTAGTGACTAATGCTAAATTTTTTGAAATATTCGCGGAAGTGTCTTTGACACATGATTTCGTTTATGGCATGTTACGATGTAATCTCTGGCTCTAAGTTTTTGTAGATCTATCAACGAAGCTTAATGCTTCCCCAATCTATCTATCTACTTTTGTTGTAAGTTTGTGTTTGCCGAACCTTTTGTACCCAACCATTTGGTTGATGAACTTATACCTTTTTATCTCCTTTTGGGACTTATACCTTTTTATCTCCTTTTGGGATTGAATGAATGGATCAACTATGTTTGCACAAAAAAGTCATATGTGCACCGTTTGTCGTTGTCTATGCCTCTTTAATCTCGTTAATCACATTTACATCTTTCATTTGTTGTGCTTGCAAGTTTTCATTACATGATGTGTCATCTTTGAAATCATCATCTAAGATATTTGAGTGATGGATGAAAATTATGAAGGTCCATAGAAACAAAAATCAATATCTTTTGTTTTTCTATTGTATTTTTTGGTAACTTTTACGACCTTTCGTTTCTTTTTCCACATTCCAAATGTTCATTCAATATCGGAACAAATTGATGCAAACTATCGGTTAAACAATTTATTCTTGCTTTTTCGTGGTGGTCCATCATAAAAATTTTCTAAATAGTTCTCTTTGATTTCCCTATAAGACGCCAAATAATTTTTCTTATTCGTGTATCCAGTCAATAAGAAGAACTTACCATTATGATTTTTTGGAAATCTTTGACTATTTTGTTGTGTTATTGCCAATACCTTAGAATCATGATCTATGCATGTTGCTCCATTCCACATATATGTGAATAACATGTCTAAATCATATATCGTCATAATCATAATATTTATGATCGTTTCACCAAAAAATATACAAAATGCGCGATGATTTTTTTGAGGATTCAATAACCAGAACATATATCCCATCTATAGCACCAATAAAACTTTGGAAGTAAAAAAAAAAAAAAAAAAAAAAAAAACTTTGAAAGTATAACCAGTAACGACGATCATTTCATAACTTGCATGAAACTTCTTAAGTTGACGTTCTGTTGGATTCTTTATGTGATCACATTGTTTCATTGTTTTGATTACCTCATGAAAATTTTGATTAACTGAGGTATTTAGAAGTACGTATTCGATATCGTATTTCATAATTTTGAAAATTATAAAACCAAAATTAAACAGCTTATGCTAATATGAAATTATATTTACATTTACGTTAATTGGGGTAGTTTGCGTTAGATTGGTTTGTGTCTTTGAGTCAACTTCATGAAAATCAAGACTTTTTCCTTTATTTATTTCTTCAGCAAATAAGAAAATATCAAGCAACCAATGAAAGATTGAGCAAAAACAAAAAGGCAGATTTTATATTATCTTCTCAACTGCTAGTTGTGATTGGAGACATCCTTGTGAGACTTGATCAGTTGATCCCCAATTAGGAGG